TCATTTATTTTTCTTTTACAATCAACTTTATTCTTTTAATGAATTATAAAATGTTAATAATGATTTCTTTAATAGATTAATCATCATTTTTGAATGTATTAATATAATCAGGTCTTTCGTAAAAAGGACAATCATATCCTAAAAAATGTATTGTATAATTAAGTTTTTGTGGTAATATTGTAATTTATGATTATTTATCTGTTATATTTAATATAATTCTATCAGAATTTAAATAATTATGTTAAATATTTAATTCTTTGAGTAATTTGTATTTCATTAAAATACCTAAACATAATTGAATATTCTAAGCAATACTTAATCGTACAAATTCAATTTCCTTTATAATATAAAAATGTGGTTACTTATAAATAAAGTAATAAACTTAATTTGATCTACATTGAATTATCAATTGTATATTCAATAATCTTTTAATACTCATTTAATTTGAAATTCTGAAATCCATCACATTCTAATATTCTTCTCATTTCTTCATTAGATTTTTAGTAACTATAAGTTTATGTGCTTAAATAATTTAAACCTTTCATTATAGAATTTACAAAATTTATATTATGTTATAATATCTTGAACTTCTAAATATTCTCTATATTAAAATAGAATACATAATTTATTATTATAATATATTTATTAAAATTCAATAATTTCATTAAAAATCAAAATATTTCTTCAAGCATTTTAATGACGTTTAATTCGATTTATTATTTAACATTTTCTTCTACTATTTATTTTAATATTTTTAATTTTTAAGATTCAATTTATTTAATAAGCTGTTCATTACTTTTATTTTAAAATTTAACATTATTAAAAAAATAATTCAATAATTCTGATCTATTGTGTACTTATGAGATAGTTTTTTATAAAATAATCTATTTATCCATATCAAATTTGTATTTGATTTTCGCTTTTTAAAATGATTGATCTATTAAGTCATTTATATCTTCTTAATTGATGCATCCAATTATAAATTATAGATTTATAAAGTTAGTTATTTGAGCTTGATTTTAAAATTTGTAAATATAAGATTATTTAAGTTCTTTTACAATTAGTGGAATGGTTTCGAGTAAAAGATATTCAAATTTGAACCATTTCAGATTCGAATAAGAAGTTTATATAAGCTTTATAATATTTTCAGTCACTTTTTTTGATCTAAGATTTCTCCAAAATATTTTCTCATCAAATCTTAAATCGATATTTTCTAATAGTTATTGCTAATTATTTTAATTCCCAAATTATTAAAATACATGATTAGAATTTTGAATGAACTAATCGAGCGATCTGCAAATTCCATCATTATATATTTTTTAATAGATCCCCTCTTCAATTTAGAGCCTTTATAATTTTTATGATGATTTTTCACTACCACCTGAGTATTTCAACTGAATTTTTTGTTATTTTTATCTAAACTATTTTTTGGCTGTCTATATAATATGTGTAATAATTTCTATAACTGATTATTCATCGTTTTTCTTAAAAGATTCATAATTTTCCAATTCATAAAAAGGACAGTCATAACCTGTAAAATGTATTGAATATTATAATTATTTCGGCAATATACTAAAAGCATATGATTCATCTTGAACTGTTAAATATATTCGATCTAAACTTAAATAATTATGCTCAATTTAGTGATCTTTAAGATTTATGTACTTTTTATAAATATCGATACCTAATTAAATCATTTATGCAAGAGAAAATTTCAAATATTCAACTTCCTAAAATATTGAAAATTTTACAATAAATCGAAGTAAATAACTTAATTTTATAGAATTAGAGTTATTGATAGTATACTTAATTATTTTTTAATCCTAATTAATCTAATAATTTTGGAATCTATCTATTTCTAAAATTCTATTCATTTCATCAATTGATCTATTAAAGGTGTAAGTTAAATAACTATTATAATTAAAGTCTTTCATTTTTGTTAATTAATATGAAAAATATTATATTTATTAATTTATTCATCAAATATAAAACAAAAGAACGTAGAAAATAAGATATCAGATGAATTTTAATTAAAAGGGATTAAAAGGATTATTAAAATTGTTAATTTTTATGGACTTTTAAAGATAGGAATTAATAGTAAATAAAAAAATTATGAAAATTATAAAAATTATTTTTTGTAAAGTTTAAATCTATTACAATTAGAGAGGTTTGATATAAAATAATAATTATTTAGTTGATTCTAAATTTATAAATTTTATAATTAGAGTAATAGGATTTTATGATAATTTGAATGATATAAGGATTCATTATTTTTCTAATATAATATTAAATGAATAAAGCAAATTTATTTAAAGATACATAATTTCATAATAAATCTTAATTTAATTATAATATCTGTAATTCTAAATAATTTTGCAATGATTAGATAGTTACTTCTTTAACCATATGTTATTTTAGTGTATCAATTTATATTTAAATATCTTTATTTTTTTTAATAGAAAACTTAACATCATTAAGAAAATAATTGAGTATTTATTATTTATTATCACTTAATTATTAACAAATATCTTGTTTGATTAGTTTGAAATCTAAATCAAACTTGAAATCTTTCATGATTTCTTCTTTATTTTCATTTATCATCTATTCAATCATTTAATTATCAAATTATAATTGTTACTTTAAATTTATATAATCATCATTTATTGTAGGGTATTAATATTAATAAATATATGATGTTGTTAATTCTTTGGCAATTAATGGGAATGCTAATTATAAGATTTATTAAAATTCATAAGAATATCCTTCTTTATAATTACATTATTAAATCTTTATTAAATTCTCATTAACATAATCCATTCTTCTTGCTCTCTTAAAAGTAATTACTGGTAAACTTTTGTCAACTCCAAATAATCTTTAATTTTTATTGTTTTGATTATTATATTTTTCAAAGATCAAATTAGATGCTTCAATAAACTTATCAAATGATTTAAATATTCCTTCATCCAACAAAGCTTTGAAAATTAATTGAAGGTCTTTGTATTTTTCATTGAATTTTTTTTGTTTTTCCTCTTTCTTTTTCTAATCTGTTATTATTTATTAATTTCCCATAGTCATTTATTTTTCTTTTACAATCAACTTTTCTCTTTTAATGAATTATAAAATGTTAATAATGATTTCTTTAATAGATTAATCATCATTTTTAAATGTATTAATATAATCCAATCTTTCATAAAAAGGACAATCATATCCTAAAAAATGTATTGTATAATTAATTTTTTCTGGTAATATTGTAATTTATGATTATTTATCTGTTATATTTAATATAATTCTATCAGAATTTAAATAATTATGTTAAATATTTAATTCTTTGAGTTATTTGTATTTCATTAAAATATCTAAACATAATTGAATATTCTAAGCAATACTTAATTTTATAAATTTAATATCCTTTATAATATATAAATGTGGTTACTTATAAATAAAGTAATAAACTTAAGTTGATTTACATTGAATTATCAATTGTATATTCAATAATCTTTTAATCCTCATATAATTTGAAATTCTTAAATCCATCACATTCTAATATTCTTCTCATTTCTTCATTTGATTTTTAGTAACTATAAGTTTATGTGCTTATATAATTTAAACCTTTCATTATAGAATTTACAAAATTTTATATTATTTTATAATTAATAATTATTTGCATATTTATGATTATGAAACATTTTCAGAATTCGTTAATCTTAAAATCATTTATTGTTGTTATCTATATAATTATTTTTCATTTAACATCTAATTTCGATTAATTTGAATGTATTTAGAAATTATACATAAATCTAATTTTAATATCTATTTAAAGTCACTCCAAAATTAAATTAAGCTCTGTAAACCTTTATAAAAAGTTCTAATTTATGTTCATGTAATTAACTTCTTCTCTTTTTCATTTTTCTGATCTTTTGAATACCCAAATGCTTAGTATGGTGTTGTAAGCACATTAAAATTCAATGTAAAAATATTACTTTTTAGTTGAATTATTCAAATTTAAATATATTTGATTATATATTTAATTTTCTCCTTAAATAATCCCCTTTAGTGATATTATTTTAAAAAAAGAGTCAGGAATTTCTTTATATCATATTGTCTTTGGTTAACTTATATTTTATTTTATCCGAAAATTATACATCAACTATCCTTAAATGTTTTCTATTTTTCAAAAATTAATTTAACATTGACTATATCAAAAAAAATAAATACAAAGCTGTTAATTTTCTTCTTCCAATTAAGACTGAATAAAAATATGAAAAATCAAAATTAAACAAATACAAAATTTGATGAGATAGTACTCCTTAGATAATTTCAGTTCTTAAGCGCGCCTTTACTTTATTTAAGCAAATTTTTTAGAGTTCAGATAAATAAGTGTAAAATGAGTTAAAAAAATACCAAATAATTTAAGCATTTTTATACTAGATATATCGTGATGATATTCATACTTCTTATAAATTTAGTCTGGAACTTAAATTATTGTTTTTTGTGTTATGTTGGTCTGCTTGTTCGTTAATATCATAATTACTCTGGATAAATATTCTAAATGGCAATCTCAAAATTAGATAGAAATCTAGTATTTTTTAAATTATTTGTAATCAGAAAATATTTATATTATGTAATTATTATTTCTAGAGTATTTGAAATAAAGATTTAATAAATATTTTTTAGATATTTACATTTAACACACTTTTTACAGTTTGGTATTATAGATCATTCATTTGATTAAGAAATATGATATTTTATATCATTATTGTTATTGTTTATTTATTGATATGATAGAAATAATTAATAATTCTCTAATTTAATTAAAATCTGATAAAACCCTATATTCAATTTTAGATTTAACTAAATATTAGTTTATCAAAAAGCGAAGGGCAGGAATGAATTCTTTATTTTAAATTAGAAAAGTTAATATGAGTAAGAGAACAAGGAATTCTAAGCCTTGTATTTTAATAGTATTATATAATTTTAGAATTTTTTATAAATAACAAATAATGATAAATCAGGATAGATCATAAAGTAATTTTCTAAAAGAGGATTCACATTTACCAGTTGAAACAATTCTATTTTAAGGAAAGAAATATGTTCCATTTTTCCTTGGAGGCTCATAGGGATATTATACAGACTAATAACCTATACCTCCTTATGATGCATTCGAAATGATTTTAGAAGTGCTAGCAATGATAGAATTAATATTAATGTGGGTATTCTTTGCTCAATTGTACAATTAAGTATCGAAATTTATAATCATTGCTAGCTTGATTTAGTGATTCCAGTATTTTATAATGCATTAGGAGAATAGACAGCAACTGGAGATAAAATTATTTTGTTAGCAATTCCAACTCTTGGCACATTTTTTTTTGTTTTATTAACTATATTATCATTAATAACTAATAGATTTTAGTATGATTTGTAAGTGACTCCAGAGAATTCAAGAATTGTATTTTCAAATACTAGAAAATTAATTCTTGTTTTCAAAGTGATTACAATAGGATTGTATAATTTTAATATAAATCTAGGTTTATATTTTTGAGTATTGGTTCAATTAGAGTGATTCAGAATGAGATCAATGGGTATTTGATGTCATATGTTGTATTTATAATAATAGTTTATGGATTAGCATATTATTATTATACAATAGAAATGGCAAAAATAATTTGAGATTATAGAAATAGTTATATAAATCATATATCTAACAGGTATAAACATTGGTTGATTGTTTTATCTCCCCTTAGCTATAACAACAACCTATTACCTTTTACATTTAATCATAAAATTTAATAAATAAATAAATTAATTAATGGAATTCATAATTATTTGAGTTATTTATTAGAATTTAATTTCTTATCTTCGTTTAATCTTGATCCAAATTTTTCATACTGTTATTTGATTATCTTAGAAATATATAAATTTTCTTTTACATTTTCAGTCAATATAGTCAACTCTTTCAATGTGGATTAAATAATTCGAATTATAATCAATATAGTTTTTAAATCAAAGAATCATACCTCTTTTTATTTTGTCTTATTATATGCTTCCCTCAATTTAAGAGTAGGTTTGAGTCATTCTAATCTTAAATTCATATCCTTTCAAATAAACTAAGTTTTATTCTAATTAATTAAAGTAAATTTAATGATTTTAGATTAACTATTTGTGATTCTGTTTCTAAAGCTTATTAAATTCATCTTCATATATCTCAAAAACTTAAACTAAACTATCTGAGTTCCATTATATTTTTATTTAGATATAATTTTTAAAATTCAAAATTGCCATTCATCATATTTCCTCACTAAAAATTTTCCAACATTCTGTATATACCACTTGATAATAAAAATAATCCATTATAATTTTCAATTTTTAATCTTCATTCTATTAGGTGATCTTGTCACAATTTGTTTATTTTAGAATACATTAAAATATATAAATTTAATTTAATGCTAAGAAATTGTGTACGATAATATTTCTGTTTAGATAGAATGGTTAGCTCTAAATTACATTTTGTAAAAGAGAAAGATGCAAAGACAGATTATGTTTATTATGAATAAAAAACTGTTTTTTCAAAAGAAAAGGGAAATAAGAAATATAAATTATTGGATGTCAAAGTCCCTGATATAAATGTTAAAAAGACATAATTTTATGTTTTTGATAAAAATACTGTCCCAGTACCAAGGTAATTTTAAAACTATTCACTAGATAAGTGTATACAGCACCATTAAGAAAATATGTTAAATAAAAGCTTTAAAGAGATGAATTTGTCAGATACAAAAAAGCTTAGACTACAATTCAAGAACAATAAGAAGAATAGGTTGATGAATTATGGGGTGAAAATCCTCCAATCAGATATTTTGAAAGACTAGTAGCAAAGGATTTATTCTTTAATTATAGAAGCCCACGATTTGCTGAATACAATAATAGAAAAAATGACTTTCTTTCAAATCCCTCTGTTCATAGTGAGGTCAAAAATCTCATTTAAGAAATTAAATAGGCTTCTACAGTCTAACTCTCAAGAAGTACTTTTCTGTATAATAAAATTAGTTTATCATCCAAATTATTTTATTGAAGATCATTATAAAAAACTACCTGATCTTTTTACTAAACTCAAAGAAGCAGTCTCTTAGGCAAATTTTAAAGAAATCCCTAAAATTGCTTGGATGTTACAAAGTTAATTGTTATATAAGGAAGATATCTATAAAATCTGGGAAGTTATAGAAAATATTGTAAAACCACAAATTCATCATTATTCGGTTGATGAATTGATATTATTGAAAAGAGGACTAGCAACAACATACCCAAAAGCTGGAAGTTATGAGTTACACAACTTAATATATAATTTAGTCTCTCAAGAAAAGTTGAATGTTGATTAAACTATTGAAGCCCTATATGCATTTAGAACATTTAATAATGATAAATATGCAAAAGTCTTAATAGATAACCTTATTACTCTATTACCTGAATATAAAAATAATCATTCAAAATTAGCTTAAGCATTTTATTCTATTGCTAATAATTTGCCAAAAAAACATCTAAGAGCAAAGTCTTATGATGTTACAGCAAATGATAAATATAGGTTAAATGTTATGAATGCTTTTGTTGGTCCATTAAAAGAAGGAAAATATAATATGGATGACATAACCAGAATTCTTTTAGGTATTTCCATATTAAAAGTACCAAGTATTTATTCAAATCTATTAAGATTTTAATGATTTAATCTTTTTATTAGAAAATTAATTACAAGAACCTGATGAATATTAATTAGTACATATCTTATATGCTCTTTCAAAAGGTAATAATGGAATTCAAACTGGAACAAATGAAACTTATAAATATTTAGAATAATTTGTGTTAAAGTATTTTGACTAATATGAACACTTAGAAAAATCTAGAGTATTTATTTGAATTTAATTTTTCTAAGATATACTATGCTTATTCATCCATTAATTCAGAATTTGCTCAAAATCCTATATTCTTAAATTGGGTTAAAGAGAATATGTTAAAATTCTCATTTTCTGAATTATAGAATGTAGTATATGGTCTCATGTTTAATTAAGTAAATGATTAAGAGATTTGGTCAAATTTCTTAAAAAATGTAGCAACTAAAAGTGAATATGTTCCCTTGGCTAATTATTATGCTTTCAAATAAGCTAAATTCTATATAACATAATTCTATCCTAATTGGAATTTAAAACCATTTGAAGAAGCTTGTTAAAATGCTGAAAATATGTTCTTAGCAAATAGAACTGAAAGATAACATTTAGATCAATAAATTATAGACTTTTAAATTGTAATTAATAATTTCATATAACAAGGATCTTAATACTCATTTATAATATGATTGGAAAACATACTATAATTGGAATAACACATATTTTTTCAATATTACACTCCCAGATCATAGAGTTGCTATTATTTTGAATACTCCACGAACAACTATTAATGGAAAACCAAGAGCTTAATTGTAGCTATAACAATAAGTAATGGCTACATAGGATTGGAAATTATTGATTTTTGATTAAACAGAACTATTTTCAATGAAAACAAAGGAAAGAGCTGCATTCTACAAAAAAACCATTGATGAAGCTATTGAATCATAGAAAGAAAAGATGAAAGCATGGGAAGAAGAAAGAAGAGACTAAATTTATGAACAATTATTAATTCAAGCTGAAAATGGTATGACCCCAGGAAAAAGATTTGTCAAAAGAGAAGATCTTAAAGGACTTTCAAGATTTCCAGTTTGAAAAATTAATGCTTTTATATACAGAAATAATTAGTTGTTTTAACAATTTTAAAATCCTAATCATCAAATTAAATCCTAAATTAATTATAATATCTTTAATTCTAAATAATTTTGCAATGATTATATAGTTACTTCTTTAACCATATGTTATTTTAGTGTATCAATTTATATTTAAATCTCTCTATTTTTTGAAATAGAAAACTTAACATCATTAAGAAAATAATTGAGTATTTGTTATTTATTATCTTTTAATTATTAACAAATATCTTCTTTGATTAGTTCGAAATCTAAATCAAACTTGAAATCTTTCATGATTTCTTCTTTATTTTCATTTATCATCTATTCAATCATTTTATTATCAAAGTTTAATTGTTACTTTAAATTTATATAATCATCATTTATTACAGGATATTAATTTGAATAATATAATTTTGCTGTTGTTAATTCTTCGGCAATTAATGGGAATGCTAATTATAAGATTTATTAAAATTCATAAGAATATCCTTATTTATAATTACATTCTTAAATCTTTATTAAATTCTCATTAACATTATCTATTCTTCTTAATCTCTTAGAATTAAGTTTGGTTGAATTTTTGTCAACACCAGATAATCTTTAATTTTTATTGTTTTTATTATTATATTTTCCAAAGATCAAGTTAGATGCATCAATAAACTAATCAAATGATTTAAATATTCCTTCATCCAACAAAGCTTTGAAAATTAATTGAAGGTCTTTGTATTTTTCATTGAATTTTTTTTGTTTTTCCTCTCTCTTTTTCTAATCTGTTATTATTTATTAATCTGCTTTCTTATCTCCCATAGTCATTTATTTTTCTTTTACAATCAACCTTTCTCTTTTATTGAATTACAAAATGTTAATAATGATTTCTTTAATAGATTAATCATCATTTTTGAATGTATTAATATAATCAGGTCTTTCATAAAAAGGACAATCATATCCTAAAAAATGTATTGTATAATTAATTTTTTCTGGTAATATTGTAATTTATGATTATTTATCTGTTATATTAATTATAATTCTATCAGAATTTATATAATTATGTTAAATATTTAATTCTTTGAGTTATTTGTATTTCATTAAAATATCTAAACATAATTGAATATTCTAAGCAATACTTAATCGTATAAATTTAATATCCTTTATAATATATAAATGTGGTTACTTATAAATAAAGTAATAAACTTAATTTGATTTACATTGAATTATCAATTGTATATTCAATAATCTTTTAATCCTCATATAATTTGAAATTCTTAAATCCATCACATTCTAATATTCTTCTCATTTCTTCATTAGATTTTTAGTAACTATAAGTTTATGTGCTTTTATAATTTAAACCTTTCATTTAGAAACTAATTTCTATTAATGAATTTTTAGATATTAACTATAATTATATATATAGAAATATTTGATAAAAAAGGTAATATATAATACTATATATGTATATATTTAACATGTTCTTTCTCAATAGAACACGTAGATAACAAAATAATTCATTTAATTACAAAAACACTAAAATAAAATAATATTACTCTATATGATAGCTAGAAGTAAATAATTGATAATTTTATTTGATGTTGATGGTACTCTCACAAAGTCTAGGAATAAGATTGAATAGAATATGGTTGATACTCTTAAGTAACTTTGTAAATTACATTATGTTGGTATAGTTGGAGGATCAGATTATCAAAAGATTAAAGATCAGGTAGGATAAGATGGTAATTATAAAAATAAGTTTGATTAGTATTTGAGATGGTTGATTTTGTGTTTACTGAGAATGGTTTACATTCATTTAAAAATGGAGAGCATTTCCATACATAGTCTTTGAATAAATTTGTTGGTGAAAATCATTTGTAAAAATTCATAAATTTTACTCTGTTACAATTATCATAGATACAATTAC